TTCGCTGCGCGATTTCCCTTCCAAAAACAAGAATCGAATCACCAACCGATATTGCTCTTTTTCCATTTTTCTAAAATCTGTGGACACGCCCGCTTCCACACGCGATCAAAACAAAATTACGAGTATATATATATATATATAATATATACTATATATATAATATATACTATAAATCTTTATATTCCAATATTAATATTCTATAAATTTTAAAACGTATATAATTTTTAACAATGAAAATAATTAATTAAATAATGTTTCGCTAATTAGGATGTTTTTTATTTTATAATTTTAATACTTTTTGTATTTATTTCTTGTTTATATACAAGAAAGATGTAAAAAGATATCAAAGCTATACTTATTTCTCTATTTATGTTTTGTCTAAAGTGTGTTTTACAGATCGAAAATAAATATTCCTTTTCTCCGACATGATGATATTTCTAAAACTATTATTAAGCGGAACTATTATTAGCGGATTAATATTAATCACTGCGATGACTTCTGTTCGTAATGAATCTTTATGCTATCAACCACCAAAATATATAAAACCAATGCATTACGATGTCAAGCTCATATCATATATTGAAGAAAATATTTTCTACGGAGAATCCAATATCAGCATAAGCATTCTTAACCAAACGCAACACATATATTTATCTTCAGTCAAACTATGTATTGAAAATATAGTTTTATTTACAAATTTAGAAAAACATAAGAATGATAAAGATACAATTTATAAACCAACATATAATATTACAAAAGACACAATTGATATTTTCTTTATAAATAATTTATCACCAGGAAATTACACTTTAAATATAAAATATTTGGGTACTGCTTATCAAGGCTTCAGAATTTTCGACATAAAACAAAAATATGTGTAAGTAAATAACTAATGTTAATTAAAAAGAGTACAATATGCAAGTACATAAGACATTGTAAATAATATACTATTTATGTATTAAATGTTTCAATAATTATTATACATCGCGGAATTCAAATCTAAGGGTAAACAATTGTTACGTTTATTATTATATAATAATATGTAATAGAGTCATAAAATATAATGTGTTGACGCATATATAACATTTATACATTTTTTAATTCCCAATATTTTTATATTTGTTAAAAAAGTTTCATTAATTTATATATTCTTCGAAATGTAGGTGGGTAAGTCCTTCGCACTTCCAGATAATAGACGCCCGACTAGTGTTTCCATGTTGGCATTCACTTAATTCATTGTTAGAAGCAACCTTTAACATTTCTTTAGGATGTCAGAATTGCACAAGTTTGTCAAATGTGCCATTGAGAAATACGGAAAGAGATGAGTACAATTTAGAATGGAAACACTACGATACCACACCTGTAATGTTGATTCCTTACGCAACAATAATTGTGTCTAATTACTTATCCCGTCTTGATTACGAAACTCGAAACATTCATATGTGGGGCAAATTTGAATCTAAATTTCACATGGAATTTGCAATAAATGCAATTGAAAATATCACATTGTTTTTAAAAAATGAATGGAAACGTTCGAAAAATATTTTGTACATGATTCATGTTGCAATTCCAAATTTCCATGACAAAGGCATAATAGTTTTCGGGCTTGTTCTTTATAGGTGAGTACAAATGCTTCAAATTACATTAAAAATAAAATTATATTTGAATGCAAAATTATAAAATTTAAAAACAAGTATATCTTTTATTTCTGTAAACGTTCAGAAGTATAAGAAATTACGAAAACAAACAGTTTCAGTAGAATTGAGTTTATTCATATTATTACAAAGATAAAGTTTACCGTTTTAATACGTACATAAAAGGTAAAGTATACATATATGTGTGTGTGCTACATTGTACCCCCTCAGATATGTTAAAACTGTAATAAAATTATAAAAGAAATGACATTTTTCTATTTATTTCAAACTATTGTTCTTTGTCAACAATATATACATTAATAGAAATTTATCGTTGCTTCATATTGTAAATTAAAAAATAAAATTATTTAGTACGATTTACAATATTAATTTGCTAAATTGTACCAATGAGTTTGTATATCGTACATCTAACAATTAAATTAAAATATTGTAACAAAAATAAAATTGTATTTTCTATAAAAGTTTTCAATCTTAACATTTAATTATAACTTTCAGGGAAACAGATATCATCTACGATAAAAATGTATATCCTATTGCTCAGAAAATCGAAGTAGTTCAATTAGTAGGACGTAAAGTGACACAAGAATGGTTTTATGATGTGATGAACAATGCGTCAGGGTCGGATTTTTGGTTTAATAAAGGTCTTATTACATTCCTTGCAACGTGTGCTATCAATAAGGTACGTTATTCTAAATATTTTCAACGCTATCTCGCTCCCACCTTCTCGCAAACAATAAAATACTAAAGTATTCATATTGCAAGATTTTCTTAAATCAAACCCTTTTTAAAAAATCTATACGCATTTTTTGTGAATTATTTTAAAAACATATTTAGCATTATTTGAAATAATTAACTGTTTTTTAAAAAATACTTTTTTCACATGTTTACATACATAAAATTATAATTTATATTCTTGAAAATTTTATGATAAAAAATGCTATTGTTAAAATGGTTTTTTAACACTTCTTTATTAGATATTTTTAAATTTTTATGTAATGTAAAATAAAATAAATCAATTAAAACTAGTACACACATGATATTTATTTAAATAAATTTGATAAAGAGAAGTCTGCAATATAATATCATGAGACAATAATTTAAAAAATATGTAATATTTGCTAATTATATTAACACAAAATTTTAGATTTTTCTATTATATTTGTTTTAATGTGAGTTTTTCAAAATGAGAAAGTGTTTCGTTTTAACAAAGAAGTAACGTTAATAAGATTAGTATTTGTTTTTAATGCAAGTATCTTCAGAACGGTTATATCGATATACATTAATTATTTTTTTCTGTAGATTTATCCAGATTATTCAATAACAAATTTATTTGTCGTTCAAAATCAACATTACTCTCTTAATTTAGATAGTGATCATATGAGGCCTTCTACTTCACAAGATGACAATTTATTGAAATATCGTCAATCTATCAGAGGTATAACATAAAATATAATAAAATGGTCCGCGTAAATTTTTAACTATTAATATTATAAAATATGCGTTAAGTTGGAAGATAATTAATTCTTTATCTGGATTTTAATTAAATATTATTTTGTATTACACGTGCAGGCAAAGTGGCACTTTGTGTGCGTGTTTTCTGTGCGGAAAGCGGCCGATTTCCTACGCCGTCATCTAGCGGCGACGCGGTGAGTGAATAAGCCGCATTCAAAGCCATTGCCTACGGCTGAGCCGCGTTCAAAGGCTATTCCCGCACTGTGCTGTCGCAAGATAGCGGCGTGCGATCGGCCACCTCGCGCACAGAAAACGCGCACAAAGCCACTTTGCCTACACTTATACAAAATATCGTGTGTATCAAGTGCGGATTGACAATTGTTCACTCGTGTGGGGTGGTCGCACTCGCCTTCGGCTCGTGCGTCCATCCCCCGCACTTGTGACCAATTGTCAACTTTCCGCACTTGATACACAATATACTATTATAAAAGGACAACAAAACGCGCGCGCACACACACGTACACACACACGCGCACGCACACGCACACGCTAACACGCAGCGTCCGCCGATAGCCGCATAAATGTAATTAGAGAGAAATAATTGTATTGTTCTTTAAAGTTTTGCTATCTTCGTAAGCATTAACTTATGAATAAAATGACAAACGGTGCGGCAATGAAAATCATTTCACTCTTACGCGATTATTACTTTGTATACATATACATAATTCTTTTTTTTTAAATTACTATGTTTACAATAACTAACCATTGTAGTAATATAAGTTTGATGTAAATCGTAGCACCCTTTATACTGCGCATGATGCAACATGTCTTGACCGAAGAAATATTTTGGAAATGCATTCGCTCATTTGTAAATAGCACGTGAGTAATTCAATATAAAATATAATATCAAAAAAGTTAAAATTGTGTAACATAAATAATGTTTAATAATAGAAGTTTTATAAACTTTTCCATTTAAATGTATATGTATTATATGTTTGAACGCGTAATAAAATAATCGCGTGTGTCAAGAAGGAGCCATAGGGCTCCGCTGGGCGGCTAACAAGCTCTGTTCCTCCCCCTGTACCGCAACCCCACTCAAAAACTAACCCTAACCAACCTATGTTTAAAATTAAATCTTCGACATGACATCTTGACCCACGCGTTTACTTTATTACGCGTCCAATCATATAATACATTTAAATATATATGTCATAAATATTATAATTAGTTTTATTTAGTAAACTTCTCTTTTAATAACTTTTTTATAAACAATGAGCGACGCTTAAAATCTTTTGATACTTATTACTCAGGACAATGACCTTGACAACATATGCCAAGGTCATCGAAATCGGAGGTGGCTCCCTATATCTCAATAAGTAGCATTTCTTTATATCGTTTTTAATTCTTATAATTTCTTTTGTTTTTTAATTGCATTTTGTACTACATTTGTTTTTAACCTTATTTAACAGAATTTTAAATATCTAAAACACTAATATCTCTCATTTCCATTACATCTCTATTTTTATTTTGGTCACTCGTAAATCGATCTCCTTTATATTATTTCTTTTAATTTCGTTTTGTCTTCAACTTCTTATTTGTTTTATTTCTTAACTATTCTATGACTCTTTCAATACTTTGCACAAATATAATCTATGTTAATGCTAAAAATACCTAAAAAATTAATAAAATTATTAAATTTTATTAAAAATTACGTTATATTCTTTATAATATAAATATAAGATATATAAATATATAGATAGAAGTGCAATTTCATATTTTGCTTCTTACAATTAGTATTTATTAAAATTTTATATAATATTAACATTATACAGACAATTTTAACATATTTCTTTTTTATGTATATTTTACATACTTTGTGAATTTAGCCGACCACATAATCTAGACTTTTTGAATTTTACGAGACATGCTGCTTTAACAAAAAATCTAAAGATTGCTCCACAACTAACAAGAATGGTAGATTGGGCTTTGGAAAAGTATTTTCCTCTCATTAAAGTAGTACGAAATTATCATGATATTTCGAGCGAAGCAAAGGTATCGATACAATATATCGACACATTAAATATCGACTGCCTTCCTGTAACTTTTACTACGGAAATATCTCTCGATTTTAACAATTTTATTCATTATATGGTATGCGTGTCAAAAGATTTAAAATTATCATTACCAATATCACTTAAAAAGTATGATTGGATAATATTCAATATACAACAAATTGGTAAATATCAATCAATGGACTTATCATAACATATTTCTCGTTTTTATTTTACACACACATAATTGACATTATTTTATATTTTTATCTATTTTATTTATTGTCCTATAAAAATCTGAAATATTCATTAAATAACTATATAATAGGTTTGAAATGCTTTGTGTCATATTTTGCAATATTATATACATAATATTATATTTAAAATATACGTTTTCTAAATAATATCATTCAATATTAATGTTATATTTTTACAAATATTCTTTTTTGTAATAATAGCAAAAATTATTAAAAAGATGATTATATTTATAAAATTTATTTTATTTTATTACAACAATATCTTGCACAGTTTCATTTTTTCTACTATTTCAAGTATTAGGATGACACTTTTATAATTAATTTTCTACATATATTTTCATTTTATTTATATTAAATTTTTAGTACGTTCTTCATTTATAAATTATATAAACAAAAGTATGAAACGGAAATATTTAAAAATATATTCTGATAAAATTATTCGAAACAATAAAAATTGATCAAATTTATTTACTACTTGACAGGATATTATCGCGTGAACTATGATGATGAGAATTGGCAAAGAATTTCGAATTACCTAAACTCTGATGATTACACGAAAATTCATGTTCTTAATCGTGCCCAAATTATCGATGATGCATTTCATTTAATGATAACAGGCCAACTCAATTTCTCTATATTCTTGAATCTCACCTCATATCTGCATCAAGAAAAAGATTATATAGCATGGTATCCTATGTTCAAAGCTCTGGAATACATATTTAGTACTTTTCCTGTAGCCATGCTGGAAAATGGTACTTGTAGTTTTACGGTAAATATATTAATAGATTTCAATAAATATATTATATTTTAGATATTTGCATATATACACTTATTAACTACAAAAAGTTTAAATACTCAGAAAAATATATACCGCAATGATAAACGAATGTTTTGCTTATTGTTACGTCGCAAACAAATGCGTAAACAAATTCAGTTTGAATAATCACTCACTCGAAAAATGGTCCCAAAAGTGTATGATTTTCACTATTGCCAATATTATTGGTATAGGTATAACATTGTTATTAGATACATAGCTAGGTGCTTAAAATCTTTGTCAATGAATGCAATTATATTGGACTTATATATAAATATTACATATTAGTAATTAAAAAAAAAAAGTAAAGCATATATATAGTTAGAAAAATTTAATTATATATTTGGAATCTTATTTTAACAACAATTAAATAATTAAATTATAAAGCGTCGTCTTTATTCTATTTAGCAAAATTCGATTTAATACAGCTCTTATACAATTTATTTGCGGGCGGCGGTGTGCCTAACGTTCGCTCGAAGATTTTTCACGCGCGTCTATATTCTTTCGCGGACTCTTATCGTCTGACTCCTCTTTCGCCAACGCTCGCCAAAACGGTTCCGCGTCTCAATCTCGAAAAATGCGCCAGCCAATCCGGCAAAGACACGCTTACCTCCTTGTTTGGGATTTTAGCCGTTGCGAGACAAACAAGAGCACGAGTCTCTTTGAAAACAAGACATTTGGCTTATCCAAATACTGACATAAATCAATCATTTACCCTGACAGGGACGTCCAAACACGCTCAATAAGAAAAATAAATTAAACATATAATAATACGAGATAAATTCGGATTTTCGATTCCTACATATTTCAAAAAGATATATATAGGTATTTTTTACCTTATTTAAAAATAAAATATAATTGATAAATAGTTATATAACTTTAATAATATCTTTTAAATATTATTGTATAAACATTTCGCACAAATTAAACCATATTTTACATACATGTATGTATATTTGAACATATGTACGTACATAAATAAACGCTCACGGCTATAAATAAATTTGTATGTATATTTGTCTCATAAAAAAAAAATATTTTTAATAATGCATTGGAAAATAATAGAAAAATATAATGATTTTTATATACATTTATAATATAAACAAAGAAATATATATTTAACGATTTTTAGAATTGCATAAAGTTGGCATTAATCAGGGTACTTGAAAGAATCAAATATGAAGAAATTAATGATACAGACCAACTTAGAATATGTTTACGACAAGAAGCTGCAAGATGGGCATGTTTTCTCGGTGACATTACTTGTATGAAAGTAGCCAACATGAAATTAAAACAACATTGCGAACAACCTAAAACATACAGGTAAATATTATTATATACTTTTACGCTTTCTTAATTAAATTTTCTTATTGATATCCTCTATAATGTTCAAATGGTTTAATCGAGAGATCTATATGCTAATTTTTAATAGGAAAATTTAATTTTCTTTTTATTTCAGACTTATGCCATGGTGGAAGGAATGGACATATTGTAAAGGTTTGATGATAACTCCCGAAAAAGAGAATACTTGGGAAATTGTGTATGTGATAGGTTTGAAAAAAAATGACACTAAATTTTTAGAATACTTGGCTTGCACTGAAGATACTAATCGCATCAAATCATATTTAACATTAAAACAAAGTATTTCTACACAAAATAAATATCCAAATTTTTTTAACAGTTTCTTACATATTATTACAAAGCATGCGAAGAATCAAAATATACTGGAGCATTTATTAAGTTATTTTAAAGAAAAAAAACCAAAGTAATGTGCCATATTTTTATAAATATTTTGTACAAAAGTTTTGATGTGTATTATATATACATCTGTTTTATCGGTTTTAGACTTGTTACTATACCTGCAGCATTAATTATTATTATTAATAACGTATATTCCGTAAATCAAACTAAGGTAAAAATTTACATGTTTATAATGTTCACAAAATATGATAATAATGCAATATTAATAATTATTATATAATGTTTAAAATAATTTTGATAATGTTATAATGTTACAAAAACGTTATTTATTAATAATGTTAAAAAAATAAAACATTTTAGTTAATAGAAGAATTCGTTGAAAGATGGAAAACGGACTTAGCAGACATAATTAATATAATTAATAATACAACAAATTTATTTATTAGTTGTCACGTAGAAAAGGTAAATCTAATAAATATTACGAGTAATTTATGAGTCGCCAGTGAATTAAAAATATAAAATGTGTTAAACCGACCACAACCGATCGTTTTGACGATTATGTTAAACAAACAAAATTTAGATTATTAAACTTTGAAATTAAAGATCTAAATTGTAACTTAAAATATTTACATTCAATGTTACATTTTATCGAAGAAAGATTATATGGCAGTTTACCACGGTTTTTAATTGATAGATTCTTTGAATCTAATCATCATAAACTACGTAATTTTAATCAAACAAAAAAGTATAATGCTATAAAAAAGTTTAATAATTTAATTCGAAGCAATAGAGTTAATGTTAACCCTTTTAGTATGATTGACAGATCAAAATGGGTTAGAAACTTTAGTAATACAGTTATTCCTGAAAATACTCTAGATTTTTTAAGCTTAGGTGAGAAATTTGGCATGCCTGTTTTACAGAATAACAAAGTTGACCGCATTAATACTGTTTTAGATGTTACTAATAATTTAGAAACTAATTGTTTTAAAATCCCTAAGGACTTATTAAAATCAACTCGAAACGAAGTTACAAAAGCGGTAATGGATTTCTCAGTAGAAAGAAACACACTAGCTTCATAGATAGACACATCATTAATATCTCGAAGGAATGTAATAAGTTTATACGCGACAATGATGATATTTTAATTACAAAAGCGGATAAAGGACAAACGACGGTAATTTTAGATAGGAAAGATTATATTGAAAAAATGAATGTTTCTCTTAACGATCAATCAACTTATAATAAACTGAAAAAAGATCCGATTAAAAAACTATCTAATAGAATGAATTCTTTAATTAAATCATGGCGTGATAATAAATTGATTGACGACGTAACATATAAAAGACTTAACACCACTAACGGTAATCTTCCACGTGCATACGGTTTACCGAAAATACATAAAGTTAATGTTCCTTTACGAATTATTGTCTCGTCAATTGGGAGTCCAGCTTACAATATAGTGTTGGCGCAGGATAATGGGGAGCACGAAATTGCTTGAAGAATTAATCAATAGTCCGATCGTATAAGTAACAAACTTTATTAGACCTTTGGTGAACGTGTATATATCACGACGACTTTCGGACAAGAATGGGGAGAGTAATTGAGAATCATGACCATATAAATGGAAGAGCAAAAGCGCGTCAGCACGGACAAACGAGTAAACATATTTTGTACTGAAACGCGCGAAGATCGAAAACAATATATAATCAGAATAGGATACAATATAATAGAAAGAGAATGCGAATCTCAACATATAGCACGTTTTTTGCACGATATTTTAGAAAAGTCAGTCTTGAAACCTGCTTCCCACATTAAAAATGGTTGGAATTTTGTGAATAAAATTAAGAACTTTAATATTGACGATAGTGAAATGTTGATTTCACTTGATGTTACTTCTTTGTTCACAAATATTCCTACAGACTTAGTTTTAAAATCAATTGAAAAACGTTGGACGGACATTTCTGGTAACACCAGTTTTAGCTCACAATTTTTATATGGAGTTGAAGTTCTTTTAGAGTCTACAAGTTTTTGTTTTAATGATCAATTTTACGAACAGATTCATGGTACCTGAATGAGCTCCCCCCCTTTCACCTATTTTGGCTGATTTAGTTATGGACAATCTCGAAACGAAATGTTTAAACGCTTTACAATGTAAGGTTTCAGTTTATTATAGGTATGTTGATGACATTTTTGCAATAATTCCACGTTCTGAGATTGATAATATCCTGACTACATTCAATAATTATCATCAACGTTTACAATTTACTTATGAGATTGAAACAAATAATATGATGAATTTTCTAAACACAACGGTTATTAGAAACAACGGGAAACTTTTAACAAATAGGTACCAGAAACCCACATCTTCTGGTAGACATTTAAACTTTTATTCGAATCACCCATTTAAGTATAAAATTATTAATAACTTAGTTGATCATGCTATTTTGTTATCTGATGATAGTTTCCATAATAAAAACTTATATATAGTCAAAAGAATTTTATCTAATAATTGTTTTCCCAACGCAATTATAGGACGTTTTTTACACAAGAGAGTTTGTTTTCTTAAAAAATCCTACGTCGTGGGGGATAAATACAAAATAATAAAGAATTTGATATTTCAAATTGTATTCCAATGCCGTATATCAAGAATTTTAGTAATACTATCGAGCGATCTATTGTAAAAGCAGGCTTAAATGTTATCTATACGATACCAAAGAAATTAGATTATGTAATAAAAAGAGGAAAAGACAAACTTCCCAAAGCGGAGATGACTGAGGTTGTTTATAGACTTGACTGCAATGACTGCAACGCTACATACATCGGACAGACTAAAAGACATTTAAATACTCGTATAAAGGAACACATGAATAACATAAAAGTGCACAATAATAACCATAACGTAATAAGCAAACATAGAAGTGAATTTTTACACGACTTTAAATGGACAACCTTTAATATTTTACATCGGGAAATACATACGAGAAAAAGAGAGTTAGCAGAAATGTTCTACATTAAAAAATTTAACAACACGATCAACCTTCAGAAAGACACAGAGAATTTAAATCTTATATAGTATATATGATTTGGTTATTAAGACTGCTTAGTTAGTTTGTTTTCTAATATCACGACGTTAATGTCCAACAAACATAGGATGAATTTTAGTATGAATTTTATTTTGTAGAAGTTTGTCAATTTATTTCTTAGCAGGTATGTTTTTATTTAATTTATTTATATACATTGGTTTACGCAATTTATCATTTTTTAAAAATGTGTTTCTTATTATTAATTTATCAACATTTATAATTGTTACTTTTTGATTGTAGACTTGATAAGGACCTGAACTAAGGTTAAAACGTTGTGTCTGAATTTTGAATAAATAACTAAATAATAACATTGCCAGTTGTGGTCGGTTTATTAACACATTTTATATTTTTAATAAATATTATTATGGAAAGCGAAAGAAAAAAAATTTTGTTCTATCTTATTAATCTCGAAATATTAATTTTATATTTTTTTATTTATTATATAAACAGTATATTGATTTCATTATGCAATTCATTGTTTTTATATATTAGGATCTCGCAACGCAGAATTTTGACAGAATTAAAAGGAAGATATTAATTCGCAACAATCAAATCAACAGACAGATACAATTTTATGAAAGCATCCGTTTTAATCAATGATAGAAATAAAAAAATTGCAGCTATGCATAGGTGAATGTATTTCACATGAATAATTTTTTATATTGTATGTACTATTTCTTTTACTGCTTCAATTATTGTTTATATAGATGCGTTACTATTCGATGCCTCTATATTTACTAAATTTTATGACCGTTTGCCTCAAGTTTTTTATATTTTTGCAAATTTGCTTGAAGTAGTTAAACTATATATTATACTAGTATAATCACAAAAAAATAACCATATAATATTACAATAAATTTTACTGTTAAATATAATATAATAATACAAATTAATCAATATATAAATAATATATAAATATATAAATATGCTTGTTAAATGTTAAATACACCTAAATATATTATCTATTTATTTTAAATTATATGTACTGTGCGACGTTAATTCGCCGGCCTCGAGCAAGTCGGCCAGAACAGAAAAAGGTAATATTCGAAAGGTAACTAACGGTATCCGAATATCGGTATTTACGACAATTCTAAAAATTTGGGCGCCAGGAGCGATTCCGCGCGCCACGGTATCAGAATTCGTTCAGAAATCGTAAATTCTCCGGCTACGCCCTGCTGAGTATTTGGCAGAGGGCCGCGGTTCACGAATATTGTTTTCAGAGATTCTGGAAAGGAGATTTTAATTAGAACACAGAGATTGGGCTAATAAAATATATAACAATGTATTTTAACAATATTAAGACAATTACGTAGACACATTACATACAGTGGACAATATAAAGATATAATATAATATAACATTAGATACATCGTACGAAACGGCGGATATAAGGACGAATAGTCCTCCGGTACTTTACGAACATCTCTCTATGGGCATTTCCCCTAGGCAATGACGAGACTTCTCAAAACCCGATATTATAATCGGCCGCGTGATAAACACGGCCGGGCTTTTTCGCGTCACGCGAATAATGCGTGATCGGATCGGAATGCGGCGCGCGCGCGGAACCATAGACCCGTGGATTACGAAAATCGATACAATACATAAACTTCGCAAATTCTCATTATGCCGGAGGTCTCGTCCGGATGAAATACAATGTAGTCGTGCCTTTAGCGCGCATCCACAACAACGTTCAGATTTCGAAACATCCGATCGTAGTAGGCGCCGGGCGTACATAACAACGGGTTTCAAAGTTCAAATCTAAAAACAAATCGCAAGAAAACATAGGGGAGGGAAAAAGATTTTAACAAAGGGAGGGAGGTTCATCCGGACGAGACCCCCGCATAATTATGATCGAACTTCACTTGGTAAGTTTGTTTAATCATTAAATTATGCCGGGGGTCTCGCCCGGATAAAATACCCGGATAATATCTGAAAAAAACTGGTGTTTTATATAAATAAACATTACAAGAGAGACCAGCAGATGCAGTCATAAAAGAAAATATATTTAAAAAACGTGAACAAGTACAAAGTTAATTTAATATAATTGCATTTGAAAACGCGTCGGGGTTAACAATTGGTCAATGGTTATAAAATTTAGCGAAAATTTGAGAATCGGCGGACCAACCCGCCATTCTCTTAATTAAGTCTATAGAAATGCCTTTTTGGCCGTGAAAGAAGTCGATGCATGACGTGTGCTATGAGCTGAGAAAGAATTATTAACCCCACAGTCGATTAAAGTCTCGCGAATCCATCTACTAATGATTTGTATCCCAACAGATTTGTGAAGAATTTTGAAGGAGATGAAAAGAGAGTCAGAATCTTTTGAACGAAGTTCAACTGTTCGGTATAAGTAATGTTCTAGTAAACCAACAATGCAAAGATTAATACGCTCATTAAAACGCGAGAAAGACAAAAGAGGTTGAAAATGATCCGGAGCGGAAGTCTTAATACGATCTGGAACTCTGATAACCATCTTATTGACGGAAAAGGAAATAAAAGGAATTAGCGAGAGTTTGACAGCATTGTCCCGAACCGAGAGCGAGGAGAAGGATCAGTTTCTTGATGATTTTTTCAAGAGAAAGGTCTTCGTATTTGGCAAAAATTCCACCAATCATGAAGAGATCGTGAATATGTTTCAGAATTGATGAGGCGAGGGATGCTAATAATGCGTCTAACAATGAATCCGGTACTTTGCGGTTTCTAAACGCTTCCCTGATAATTTCGATGCTCCCAGGAAAAGTGTCTTGTAGGAGGGATGATGGTTCCTAAGAGGAGAAGAAAGAAGAGATTTAGAAGGATGTAATATAAGAAGTTCTAAAGCTAAAAAGCGTTGAAAGAGAGGGAACCAAGATTGTGAAGGCCACCAGGGGACAATCAAAATTCCTTCCGCTTCATTATTAATAATCCGTAAAACTTTCGGTATAAGAATGAAAGGAGGGAAAGCATAGAACTAAAAATTTTCCTAAGATAAAGTAAAAGCATCGACGGCAAAGAAGCCTGGGTCTGGAATCCAGAAGACGTACAGATCGTACTTAGCATTGAGAAGCGAAGCAAAAAAATCAACGTCGAAAAGACCAAATTTTTCCAAGATAAAGTTAAAAACCTTGGGAAAAAGTGATCATTCCGTGTCAGCATCAGGACGACGGGACTCATAATCAGTAATAACATTTTCACCCGAAGCGATGTTAGAAGCATAAAGAAAAATGTTTCTATTTTCACTGAGGTTATAGATTTAATCTGACAACACTGGCCTCAATTAGCGTTGTTAATATATATTTATTTTGACGTTTCGACCATGTGAGTTGTGGTCTTTTTCAAAAATACAATTAGAACTTTCTAAAACATATAAATACAATCAGACACTTTAATTAAAACGAAACGGGAACTGCAAATTTGAGACTTACAATGAGTTACAGCATTTTGTCTTTAAGATATAAGAGCTAATTATGATTCGGAGAGAATTAGCTTATGTCACAATAATAAAATTACATATCGAGTTACGTTTTTGTCTTCATACTTTGACAGAACACACTGTACTAAAATTAATAACATCGCCAAGGTAAATATGTCGAAGGTTACATCAATTTCTAAACAAACAATCATACGTAGTGCTAAAACTTTCTGTGTCTTTTTGTAAATTAATTGTGGAATTTAATTTCTTAATAAAATACATCTCGGCAATTTCCCTTTTTTCTTCTATTATTTTCTTTATGCAGGACAGAAGGATTTTTCATTCCTGGCGAACGAAATTAATTTTTATCGTTTCTATTTTTACACCATTGCCAAATATCTCTGGAGATGGATGAAAAAAGTCGATGTTGAACTGAACCAAAACGATTAATATATGAGAGAGTTGTTGTGTTGTCAATCCTAAGAAGTATTTCACAATTAAGTAGATTAGCTGCAAAACATTGAGAGCGAAAAAAGCCGCTTTGAGTCCAAAAGCGTTAATATGAAGAGCTTTGTCATCTTCAGACCACCAGCCATGTGAGCGTAAAGATCCGCAAGAGGCACCCCAGCCTGTTAAAGAAGTATCAGAAAAAATTTCTAAAGAGAATCGACCCGTGCATATAACATTAGCTTGAAGTGGGTTAGATAAAACACTGCGCAACCACTGAAAATCCTCTTGAAGAAAAGGCGGGATGAAAAAATTTGCAGAGAAAATACCATTCGATTTTAACAAAGCAAGATATTTAACTCTTTCAAATAATTTAGTGTAAATGAATCTGTAACGAACGGCTGGATAAGTTGAGACAAGTGAGCCAATTATTCCTGCAAAATCTCGAATAGAACAATGAGATTTTGAAGAAAAATCAAGGATTATCTTGAGAAGTTTTGAAGCCGAGGTATTTCTTCTTTTAGATGATATTAACTTTGATTTACTGAAATTAATTATAAAGCCTAAGGCAGACAATAAGTTAATATGAGCCTGAACATTATCACTACAAGAATCTATAGACGATCTTAAAAGCAAAAAGTCGTTCAAATAAATGATGGATTCATAACCTTCTTCTCGAGAAAAGAAGTGACTGAACGCAGAATTTTGGTAAAAATAAATGGTGCAGTGGAGAGACCGAAGGGAAATACTGCAAACTCGTAGATTAACACGCGCCTGGAATCTAAGAAACTTCCTGTGAGAGATGTGTATTGGAACTAGTAAATACGTATCTTCGATGTCTAATATGTGTCTTCGCGAATTTCCCGCTTTCCGCGCCGAAGGTGTGCCGTCGGCCACTTACATCGGCCCTATTTCTCGGATCATTATCTATCCGACTGTATAAAATAATAAACGGTTACAATGTATATCGTTGAAAATGACATTTAAAATTCATAAAGAAGAAATTTATGAGCAATAATAAATTTGGAATGCAAAATTAATTCATTTTTATACTATTCATAAAATATTGCAGAATATTTCTTATTTTCGAATTTTATTTATCCGAATATTTATCTGTCCGATTTCTTCAATTAATTCAATATCTAAATTCCTTGTGTTGGGATCGTATCAGAATAGTTAAACTCATCAAAATAATTATAACATATTTAACTGTAATAGCCGCTTTTTGCATGCGCTTTATAATTCTCATAACTATATTTAATAATAATGTAGACAGCGCATCTTGCGTCGCATAGCGGCAAATGAATAAGAAACTATTACAAGATAATATTGGAGTATATTTTGCAATGTCTCCAATAAAATATTAAATTCATAATATTTGCACAATGTTGCTTCAATATTTATAATGACACAATGAAATGAAATATTTATGCAATATTTTAGCAATATTCGTGCTGTAAGAGAATTACTATATAATTTGAATAGAATACAAATATAATTGGTGGACATCCCGTGGACGTCCAAATATTAATCACTGATGGATGTCCGAAATCGGATATAAAGTGGACGTTCATTTCATGTCCATGGATGTGCAGAGGTAAAATGGATATAAAATGAACGTGCAATATAGTACATCTTATATATAATGACAATCAAAAGAAAAATGAAAAAAGGATTTACAGATATATATATTCTTATATGTTTACTAATATGGCTATATTTAAATTTGTTTAATATATGTATATTTAACTCGAAAAAACGGTATTTTACTTATTTCTTAAAAACAATATTTATTTATTTTACTCGTTTTTTAACAAATAGAGTAAAAGCAAAATTCGAAATTGAGCAAAATTATTATTGAAACTCATTACTAATATTTAATATTTATAAATATAAAGAAATTTTATTTAATATCAATAACAGTTACGCAATTATAGTTTTTGTCATTTATGCTGACGAGTTTATGTCATAAATTAAATACTTTTTATGTGCATGTATACTAAAACGCGAAACAATTTCCTAAAATAAAATTAATTAAGCAATTTTTTGACAATTATAGTAGTAGTTGAGTCTACACTGTTTGAATCTAACTTTCAAGACTTGCCACATAGTAGTCACTAAATTCGAAACAGCTCAAGTAGAACAGAAAATCAAAATCATAATATCATTTTGACGTCATATGATCAAATTTGGAGTTCAAATTTAGTTAAGATGACGTCAAATTGACATTATTTTTCTGTTCTACTTGGGATATACTTTCATTTGACTACAATATATATAATAATAACACAGAACAAGTATTTTGCGAAGCGGTATGTATTTAGATTATTATATCTATTCGATAAGTCGACTGCTGAAACGTGATTTTAAAGAAACTTTAAACTCACCAATTTTATTCCTCTTTTCACGACCCATTTCAGTTTTTTGAAACCACTCTTTTACCTAACTTTTCTTTACCCTAAACTAAAGACAATTATTTTATCAGAATCATAACATGCATATACATATATATAAGCGATTACACATACACACTCACGCACACATATACACACGCCTATACACGCACACGCGCCCACGCATATATGCGCGCGCGCACACAAACTCACATAAAGATAACACATCAAAACATATTGTTTAATATTAATATGAAATAAAAATTTATTGAAAAATTAATTAAAGTAATTATAGATAAATTTGCAAACAATATATGATCATGGAAATAATATAATAAATAACGTGCTTTAAATAATCGATCTAAATAGAGATGCCAGAAAAATATATACATACATATATATTAGGAATATAAGAATATTCAATAAATAACTTGATTAAGAAATAAACATAATTTATTCACATGTAAGTAAGAATGCAATCTACATCCATAATGTATAACTATACATATATACTATATAAGTCCGCACAATAGTAGAAGTAACAGATATTAGAAACATATCTCAAGAGGTATTACTTATTGAATTCATTTAAAGATCTGACAGTACAATATCTGCTATATCTGACCATAAAACAAGGAAAATATGGAGGAGATTAATATAATAGGATACGAAGAATGTTTCTATATAATCTAAATCATCTAAAAGACATCATTTTATCTTTAAACAATTTTAAGATCTAATAAAATATATATACATTCTGTAATCCTTTTTTTCCCATATTACATTAAAAAGAAATATAAAGTATATATATTATATAATATAACTCTGTATATATAGACACAAAAATCTCATTATTTAAAGACATGAGTTAAATCTCCATAATAACATACAACGCAATGTTCAGGTGTCATGTACCTATATACATTAAAAAATAACACACTTGTTTAAAATTTATATAATCAACTATCATATTATATATTAACAATGAATAAGTGGACATCAACATTTTGAAACTCGTCCATTAGAATATCTAAAATTTCAAAAATTTTGACCTATATTACGACATAGTCAATTGATCCCTATTAATTATCGTGTTTTTTGTTAATTATATTGATAATATCGTGATATCGCAATCATAATAAGTCTTTATAACAACAGAATAAATGATATCATGCTTATTGGCAGGTACAAATTTTAATTTGCACATACATTTTTTGGCCGCAAATTGACATTAACAATGTCATTACACATAAATCATATTATATAAATTTCAGTAATTTTTATAGAATGAAAGTTTTTGAGCGCGTTATTGCAAAATTAAATTATTCACTTTGCTAAGATATATATATATATATATAATATATATATATATATATATATATATATGTTTTGAACAATTTGTGTGTGTGTGTTGTGTATTTTATTAAACCTATTTACATATACGAAGTAAGAAATAATCGATTATGTGTATAATCACAAAGAATGCGATACCGAGAATTATTTTCAAATAAACAAAGAAATACATAATATCCATACACATACACATGTATATATATAAAATTAAATATATATAATACAGAAAGTTTGTACATAGTTTTACAAATGTATTTATAAACATATTTTTTATTATATATTTTATTTAAAAAATCTTTATAATTTACGAAAACAAAATCGTATAAACACACAACCATATGGCTTTAATAACATAAAATAGAAATATATATAAAGTTCGTAACTGTTGTAAAGTGTTGATACTATAATTTATTTAATGTATCTTTTATTAATATATCCACACATGGATATATATAAATATTATAATAATATAGCTAAAACATAATGGATTGATCCCATAAAAAAGAATATCTAAAACACATACATTAGATATACTTTATGACATTTTAAATTTCCAACAAGTGGAAATTTTAAATAATTTTGTTTTTTTATATTAATCTCTTTTATATGGATACGCTAATTCTTCTATTTGTGTACAATTTATACATTGTAAACATGCAATTTACGATACATACAGATTCCTTTATGGCTAACTGATAAACTGGGTTGAGAGCTTATATGATAGAAAGGAGAATGATAATGTTTAATGCCCTAGGTGTATTTACTTTCATTAAATTAGGAACAAAACCGTAAAAATGCCTCGGTTATCCACTCGATACATTTTCGTGTCTAAATGCGTGTTTAGAAACACAATGATCGCTACATACATATTATATCTTGGAGTATCCAACTGAGATTCGTCCGGAATAAGACGCAAACTGCAAAAGATGTGCCTTAATTTACGTAGATATATTATGTAAACTGCAGAGGCAGAATTCAAAAGTCCCAGTCGCTCTTTTGCTTTCGTTGCTCCGTCATCTTTTTAAAAAAAATAAAACAAAAATATATGATATATATATATATATATATATATATATATATATATTGTATATAAATTATAGAAAAAGATATAAATATATAAATATTATATAAAAATATATATGTAATATATTAAATTTGTATTTGAAATATTGCTTAAATAATTTTTTGTTAATGTAAGAATAAAATTTAAAGAATATTTTCACAATGACGTACCTGATCACGAAGCTCCATCAGTTGTTGCGACAAACATTTAACTAACTGCTGCGTAGATTCTAATTGCGATTGTAAACTTCTCAATTCCACTTGCTCACCTTCACCTTCGTCCGCTGCCAGTGATTTGGCCCGCAATCTCGGGAACCATTCCAGATTTCGATCCTGTGAAAGTACATAGAGCTTAAAGACATAAGCATCGCCCAAATTTTTCAAGCTCTATGAACTATTACCTTAACCATAGAGTAAACGTATGATTCCGGCCCTGTAAATTCTGTCGGATCCTTCACCTTCACTAACACAATGAAGTAGAGATAATGCCACATATTATGCTCATGCTTTATGTGTTCCTCAAAGGAAACTGTTTGTTATCGAAAGCCGATCTATTCAAACCTATAAAAAAATAGAGAATATTTAAATACCTTAAGATATATCCTATATGATATGCGAAAAAAATAAAAGTATAAAAAAGGCAAAACAAATAATATAATATAATAAAATAGATACTTGCCGCAAATGAACAAGTATTTTCAAAATCAATTCTTTCTGCTGCTTCTCTGATCTAAGATCCGCAAAGTATCGATAATCACACCAAAGATGAGATTCAAACGATAATTATTACAATGAAGAAGAATAGCAAATCATAGACAACTCTTGCAACAAAATAAAGGTTCCTAAAAGATAATAAATTATTGCATATAAAATAAATATATATTTCATTATATTTTTGCAATAATCCCGTATACTTACAACGCTGGATGGTGCTCGTAAAATATCCCCGATACCACCACCATTCCTCAATCCTTGATTTAACGTGGTGACTATACACATAATGAGTGAATCACAAGTACGTTCCTTAATTCTCCGCCGACGCTTATCACTTCAGCTTACTTCTTGTTCATTTGCTGAATTATTAGAAGAATTATTTCACAATAAATATTATTTTTACATATTCAAAGAAAAAAGTATATCAATTGCGATATATCTACCTTCACGAGCATATTGTGATATAGTTTCTGTTACTTCGCACTTTTCCTTGTCACCAATGCTACAAGTATCTGCAACTTTCTGTTCAATGGAAGCTATAAATCGAATAAATATTGTTATTATATTTATTAAAATTAAGAAGATTTATATAAATTTATGTATCATACCAAAGGATTAAACTTACATATAATTCCTCATCCACAGGAACGAGGAAATCGTCTTTAAAGAACATAAAACCAATGATGGAAAACATGTACACTAAAATCAAGCTAAGACAGCAGTGAGTATGATAGATCTTCATTTCGAGTTACAGATTTTATTACATTGAGCAAAGTCTCCTCGCGGTAACCACATCAAAGAGCTAAAAGAAAACGACAATGTTACAATTTGAAAAAGAGTAAAAAAAAACAATTCATTAAATTTTTTGTCATTTCTACTAACACTGAATAGAAAAAGGATGCATAAAAATCCCCAGAACGCAGAATATTAAATACCATATGTGATATAAAAATTCGATATTAGTTATTATTTGCTCTACACTTTTAGTCAGGGTACCCTGATTACCCTAATACTTATAAGATGTACACTTTTTAATGTAATCTGCAATACAAGTAATACATATTTAAAAATAGATATTTAAAATCACTATATATATATACACATATAAGCTTTATTATATTTACCGTAACAAAAACCGAGCAACCATAACGTTGGTTCTGGACCTACAGAGAAAATCAATCGCAATATCGTTGATGCAACTAACGTACGTATACGGATTCCTTGGTAAAGTAATAACGATAGCAGCAGATGCAAGCATAACTGTCCAAATTAAAGCTGATAAATGATAACTGAGTTCTACAAATAGAGAACAAATAAGTATCGTGTTATGTATCGAGACAATTTAAGAAATTCAACTCTCTTAATTGCAACTCACTAGGCACAGAATCCACAAACGGATAGAAAAAGGCTACGATCAGATTTATAAGAACGGCACAATTGAATAAAATGTTACTCCATAATGACATATAACTGCTCATCCAAAACAACATTGATTGCCCTGTAAGTTACAATCGATTTATTATTAGGAATGTTATTACTATCTAAATTTATATGTTTTAATCAATAGACATACCTCTAAGCTTTTTTTGCCATTTCATCTCATTAACATGTCTTCTGTCCTTTCGAAGAAATCGGAAAACTTTCGACCCTTGATCATCTCGTTCCGTAGTGTTCAGTACTCTTATTTTTGTATCGACAGTTATAAGTTCGCAGATCTCCGGAATCGGAAAGACAATTTGTTCGAGTGTTCTATCGTGTCTCACAATCTAAAACGTAAAAATATTTTATTGATCTTTCTCTCTCTTTCTCTTTAAAAATTAAAACTATTTTAATTTATATATACAAAACTATAGTACCTCTATTTGAGCTGTATGAGATGCATAGTATTGTAACGCTTTATTAATTTTTGGATCCGCATTATTCTGCTCCCGATGGTTTCAGTATCACTGCAGTTCTTATTGTGCTGCGCTAATTGATGGCACAAGATGTAAATATTATGTCCAACCTGAAAAAAAAATAAAGTAGATGATCTTTTTAAATTTACTAAAATCGCAAAAAAAATCAATAAAATATCTG